CCCCCCCCCCCCAATGCCTGCATCAAATCGAAATCTAGAGTCAGACTGCTGAGAATCGGCGGCATAATTTTCCGCCAGTTTTTCAGAGTTGAAACATTCCGGGGAAGTTCTCATTCCCTCATCCTAAAAGGCCACAAGTCCCTGAGAAAAAGAAAAACAGTTGACAGGAGCTTGGGGCCAAAGGAAGAAGTGGAGGGTGCGGGGGAGAGAAGATGGTGTCTGTGGCCAATGAAAAATTGCCTGCCTCTGCTCTGTTTCACTAGTAGACAGGGAAGAAAATTTGTATTTCCTGAGCAGGTGGGATTTGGGGCGGCACGATGAATTTGAACTGCAGGACAGATCCTGCGCCTTTCACCTTTTTGTTTCCGAGCACAGTATCTGAACCAGAAATGTTAGACTGGCCTAACATCCTTCCCCAAATCATGAGCTCCCCCAAATCATGAGGGTTTAGCTTTCCTCCAAATGCCCCGCGAGTTCTCCTTTTCTTTGCAGGTTTCCTCAAACCCCTCCGTGAAACCTCAGCTCCAGGTCCTTCTTCCTACCCACACACCATCTTTGCCCTCAAAAAGCAAGCTTTCCACCCAGCAGAGAATCCTTCCCCCTCTGCCTTAACTAATGCTTTACTGAAGTTGGAAATGCTGAAGGCTTTGTTAGACTGGGAGTTTCCTCTTGCTTAGTCTGGGATAAGAAAGCAGGTCTATAAGGCAGGGTGGGCAGTCCATGTCCCTCAGGCTGAAATATGGCCTTGGGGTGACTTCAAATGCTTTCGGCAAGGAATCCCTTCAGGTAAGAGCTACCTGATCCCTCTCAGCTTGCAGAAAAGAGAAATGGGAGGCTCCACCCCCTTTGGGCACTGGCCACACCCACCTCAGCCCCACCCAGCTTGTCCCCTCCACCCCTGTAGTCGAGAAGAGATGAGACCCTCTTCAGAAGAAAGTCTGTCCACAAGTACCGATTCAAACACAGGTCCCCGTTTGACCGTCTTCCTTTCTCCAGGAACATTTGAGAGAGAGAGACTACTCCCCTCCATCTGTTTTCCATCTTAAAAATAGCTTTGCATTGTTACTAGCAGTGTGCAAGAAGGTTATTTGGGGGCAAGTGACCAAATTCTTCTTGCTTGTGTTTCTGCTGCAGGTGGATACCCTGCGTCATGTTATCAATCAGACGGGAGGATACAGTGACAGTTTGGGAGGAAATTCACTGTACAGTCCACATAATTTAAATGTGAGTTCCGTTCACGGGTGGCCCTTTGGGTCAGGGGTTGGCTGTGTATGGCCAGGCGTTGGGTGAGTCACAAAATACCAACTTCCTTTTTGGCAACGGATGCTGTTGCTCTGAAGATCTGGTGCTCCGGGGTTGGACGCTCAATAAATGCTGTTTATTAATGCTGGGTTGAAATCTATCTTTAGGCGTGGGGGGGTGGGTAGGTGTCGGGCGCCCCGTCGCCGCCAGCCCCGCCGCTCCTCCACCGCCCGCCGCCTCACATCTCATCATCT